GGGATGAGGGATTTCTGTTCCAAAGATAGATTGGAAAAGCTGGGGATTTTCTCCTTCAGAGAGTTGCAGAAACTTGATAGAGGTATTCAAAAACATGATATGCCTGGATTAGATAGGAAGAAACAGTTCTTATTTGTGAAAATCATGTAAAGTGAAGGGTAAATGAATCAAAAGTAGCATGGGGAAGAAACAGTTTTAACAGCATGTGATTAAGGCTTGGAATGGAAGGCTTGAGGGTTTGTTGGAGGCACACATAATCATGGTTTTCAATAAAGAATTAGATATTTACTGAAGACAAAAGATTTGCAGGGCTACAGGAAAGTTCAGGAGAGTAGGACTAGCTGCGATGCTCTCACACAGAGAGTTGGCATGGATATTGGGGGCCAAATGTTCTTCTTCTACGCTGCAACCCTCTATCCTCTGATGATGTAAGGTAAGATTCAAAATGGTAGGTCAGGTGTAAACTAATGATAGATGCAGACTGACATCACAATCTGGCCACTCTGCATGCCTTTGGCATATGAAAACATTGGATGTTTGAGCTAACACCCTTTCCAACATGTTGACTTGTACCAGTCCTATGTCACTTTTTTTTCAACTCGACCTTTCCACAGCACCAAAGCCAGTGGCCACTGCAGGAAAACTGCAGAACTTTCAGGTATTATATATATATTCAGGCTTCTCAGCCTTGACGTCTTCCTTCCTGAGTCATGTAATTTAGATCAAACATTGACTCTGAATTCATGAACTGTTGCTTATAAATGCTCCAAAATAGTTTCATAGCAAAAGAAAAGAATAAAATATTGAAGTCCTGCTGTTAAGATATCAGCTACCAAGACCTTGGCCACAGATTTCAAGGTAGCAACTCACTTCTCCAAAATCAACGTTTTTCAACCATACAACTATTTTAGGCTCAAATCACTTGCCGAGAAGTTTTCATTTTCCATGTGCAGTGCATGTTAAAATTAAAGGTAAGTCAACATATTGTTAATCTACCCAAATAAGCCTCAACTGGAAATTAAAGAGCTCTAATTAACATTCAGTATATTTCAATCTGTACTTATCTAAATGATGGGTGTGCAACATTGGCTGCATCCTTAATAATGATATTGTTTGCATGACTCAGAGTTTCACTAACATCTGTGTCTCGAATGCTGCATTATACATTAAAGAAAGCTGAAACGATTACAATAGCAAGCTCTTTATCAAATTCAGAAAGTTCACCAAGCACTATCACCTCATTGCTCAGACAGCTCTCAGTATCTCTTTCAGCATCAAAAGATATTCTAATCAAGTGAGTACATTATATATTTGTTCACTTCAGGCAGGATTGATGGTAGAACTTTAAACTGTAGGAGATAAAATTAGTTTTGTCTCCAAATTCTATCCCCTTCTGGTTTGCATACTAATATCCACTGGAATTTCAAGACTTTTCTTCACAACAATCAAATACAAAGTTAAATTCAAGTTTATACAGGAAAGAATTTTGTTTCAGCAAATTGTAACCTTTATATCATTTTACTCTTACACATAGATTTGGTACAAACTGTTCCAAACTAACAATGTATCCAGCTAATTTGGTGCATACAAATTTACATGCGTGACTTGCACCATTACCGGAAATAAACAAAACTTTCAAATGTGACAAGTCAATTAACTGTCTGTGTCTGTTTGGAATTACTCAAAATGGTAGTCTATTGCAATGCATTGTGGAATGATATCATTATATATATATATCTCTATAAATAGTAAACTTCAACTGTAATAGCTAAGCCTAAAATAAATGCTACTTGTAATTCTAACAAGTAAATCATTTTTGGGGTGTGGAGTGGAATTTTGTTCTATTTACAGAATTAGAGTGGCCAAGCAGTTAAAATGGAAAGGCTATAGTTCCCACACCGTTCCTGACCATTCTTGATGTTATCACTGTTGCTTTGGCAACAGATGAGGTATCCTGCCAGACTCAGGCAAGTGCATCATGTTGTAATGCAATCAAGGCTGTCAACAGAAGCCAAGAACACCTCAGAACCCAGCACCTGAGTATGAAAGGCAGTGCAAGGTTCCCATCAGGTAAAACTAGATCAGTAGATGTCAGAAGGGTGAAGAGACCCTTGAAGGTTAAATTAAAAACTTTGCTTTGTCAAGCCAGGAGGATATGTGGTCTGCCTCAAGAGCCCACAAAGCTTTAGTGGAAATTCCTGTCTCGATTAGTATCAAAGTAGTTGCAAAGTATCAATACAATTATCTATGAACTATATAAATCTGCCATATTTATACAACAATTAAACATGTAGCAATGCTTGGGCTGATTTTTCCCTTCCTGGAGCTGGTGAGTGAAATGATGAGAGAGGGAGATGATTAAGAGAAATTACCACAGAGGAATTCATTCCTTATTGCCAGCTCTGCAATTAAGTGCTGAAAGAAGGCTAGTTTTCTGGAAACCTTCCTGCTGAGTTTGGGGGGCCTCCAAATGTTGGATACCCCAAGGCATAGGGCTCAAACAGACCCAAAAACTGCTGGTCTCTGATTGGTCAATGTGAAGACTTGCGGTAGAGTGAGCTAAGTGTCCACACTCACTATCAGCTCCTGATGAGCTGATTGTTGGGTGATCCAGTGACAATATCACTGGTGCGAGCATCTCTGGTGGGCCCAAGTGGCAAACACACTCACAACTGTATTCCACTAGGAGCTCACAAATGTGTGCTACTAAAGAAAGAGCCAAACAGACTAAGCATTCTTAGAAATTTCACCCGACTCAATTTCTACACAACTAATTCCTTACAGACATCGGAATTCCCATATAATTCCATGCAGATTGCCAGTCCAGCCCTGCTCTACATTTCTGAGAGAGGATTCTACTCAGGGCTCCTTCCAAATGCAAAGGTGTACTTCTGATTTGACAATTCTTTCATAGCACAGGACTGTCAGAGAAGGCAAACCACACATCAGCAGCCATATTCTGAAATTTAATGGTGCAAACATCCACTTTGACAGCTGCTGTCAAACGGTAAGTATATAAAAGTGTGAGGCTAGGGAGCTGGGAAGTTAGGGTGCCAGATGGGTGGGACAATAGTGCACCAGATAAATAGGATGCCTCGTAGGTAGGGTGCCATACTGTCAGGTAAGTAGGCTGTCAACAGGAGGTTTTTATGCAGAGCAGAGTAAGGCAATAAGAAGAGGCTGAGTAAGCTGGGGCTTTTTTCCCTGGAACATCGGAGGCTGAGGGGTGACCTTATAGAAGTTTATAAAATCACAAAGGGCATGGATAGGGTGACTAGCCAAGGTCTGTTTACCACTGTAGAAGAATCCAAAGCTAGATGGCGTAGGGTTAAGGTGAGGGGGAAAGATTTAAAAGGGATGTGAGAGGCAACTTTCCGATGCAGAGGGTGGTGTGTGTATGGAACGGGCTGCCAAAGGAGGTGATGGAGGCAGGTACAATTTCAAATTTAAAAGGTATCTGGATGGGTAATGAATATGAAAGATTTAGAGTGATATGGGCGATATGCTGGCAAATGGGACTAGATCGGTTTAGGATATCTAGTTGGCGTGGATGAGTTGGACCAAAGGGTCTGCTTCTATGCTCTGTAACTCTATGGCTCTATGTTTTGCAGGGGAAGGTATCAGGGTGGGTCTGGCTGCAGAGGAATGTGGGGGTGAGAAAGTCAGGGTTTGGGGGGTATAAGGAGTCTGGCGGAGGTATAACTGGTGGAGTGAGGGGTCAGTATGGAGTCAGTTGAATAGCTACTCAGAAGTTATACAAAATATTTAATAATGTAACATTTCCTAAGTAACTACTTTTCTTAGTTTCATCTGAATACTCTGAATTCTCCAGAGACTTTCACAGGGTTCTAGGCACTGGGGAACTGACCAGCAGATTCCTCAATTGCCCAGGCAATTTCTTTGGAGTTTGCTACAATGGGGATACCACAGGGTGTCCATGTGCAACATCCATCTAAGCTGCAATAACTGTCTGGCCAGCAGAAAACCCAGACCATTGTCTTTTATGCTAAAACATTCATATGCTCTTCACAACAATTGCATTAACTCTGTACTCTATCAGCAGTAGAATTTATTCAGTTTAACCATTTTTTGTAAATGATTTATATTAAATTCAGTTTCATTTTACAGGAGTGTTTAAATTTTGAATCCATTTAAGGGCATAAATAATTTATTCTATTAATATTAGTTAATGCTCTTGAAATAAATTAGCAATTTTGCTTGTCAGAAGAGGAATCCTACCTCCTGAATATAACAAATATATAACAGCTAACATATTCTTTAGTGATACTAGTTCAGGTGTCGATAATGGCCAAGGCCATAAATAGTAATATATTACGTCCAACTGAGAAGACCCTTTGTTTAACTTTATTTAAAGATAGCACCTTTGACAAATAAAGCATTTCCTCAGTCTTTCAGCGGACCATCAACCTTACACAAAATCATGTGGTGTCAAGCTTGAATTTATGACCTTTATTCTATCATATGTCTCACATTTTAAATCGCAAAATGAACCTCAGGTATGTACATATTTTAAACCATAGTATTTGCAAAACAAAATCATGCAGAGTAAAGTGTCATGCATGAAATTGCATACTAGGCACCTATTATGGAAATAATTATGGCACCAGACGTGCGCGTGTTTGATTTAGTGAAAAAAAAACTGTTCCAGCATAAAATCCATCAACTTGATGAACACAAAAATAATACAAAACTTAAAAATTAACAAGATAATTTTCTGTCTTTTTGCTTCATGTCAGTTATGGTTGTCTGCTGGGAGTATAACTATCACGAACTTGAGGGTTTTCCAGACAAAGAATAACTTGCATTTATCTTACACATGATCACATCTTTACACAGCAGTGTGCACAGTGAATTATTTTGAAATGCAGCAGCTTTGATGTAAAAAAAATGCATTGCAGTTACACTTCTGCAGCGATCAATCAAATCTGTCTGTTAGTTAATTTGGTGACCACATTTTACAAAGTGGGAAAAGAACTCACAACTGTATGCCACTGAAGAAAGAGCCAAACAGTCCAATCATTCCTAGAAATTCCACTCGACTCAAGTTCTTCACAATGAATTCCTCACAGACATTGGAAATTCCATATAATGTAGCTCCTGCCAACACAAGCAAGTCTCCAAGCAGTTTATTATCACCTAGTTAAAAGTAAACAAAAAAAAAATCAATTATAGTAATTTTGGTAGTTTGTAAGAAATCTTTCTGAATGTAAATTGCAATCACTTTTGCTTTCAGAAATATACCATTAGATTGAAGATTAGCAATGTTAACACATTCACGGACCTAACATTTTTATATAATAGGTACAGAAAATTGTGTTATGTTATTAGAATAGCAGTTAAACTTAAAACCCAGATTAAACCATTAAAAGGTATTTTGTTCAAATCTGTGTACATGTAATTTGAAATGTACTAAATAGAAAGCTCTTTCAAAGACAAGATAGGCCAAATGTTCTCATTTTAAACTATAAGTGTCTCTGTTAACCTGTAAATTCAAGTCGTCATCTGAGGACTTTGCCTGAAAAGTTCTACCTCAAATCTAAGAACTTATAAGTTTATAAAACTTTACTCGATGGCATGCCATGTCACACTCCATCTGTGTGCTGTCAGCCCAGCACCCTAATCACCATTTAGCCTAGATAAGTTGAAACCGTTCAGTGCATCACGTGTTCTGAAACAATTCTAATGCTGGTTCCAAGCATTTGCAAATCTCTTGGTACGGGAAAAGCCAGAGAAAAATAATTTGTACCCATGAAGAAGCAGAGAACCCAAGAGAATGAAAATCAGCTGAAGACAAATGGGACATGTTTGCTATGCATAGGAATTCAAAAGCAGGAGATTTTGCAAGAAATTTAGAGGGATGTGAGAGTCTGAAAAGCTTTTCTCATACACTGAATCAAATTTTAATCTTCAAATTTACTACCAAAAAGGATATTAGCTTTAGCCATCACTATATAAAGATATGTGGCCAGGATATGACTGCAGATAGGGTTTCTAGAGTCTCTCATTTCGGTTCCACTTTCACTGAGGAAGCTGGAAATGGGTGCCAGAAATGGTGAGGAAGTGTTACATTCTGCAAAATTAACATCTCTAATGTTCAGGAGCACAAAGGAAAAAAAATCATACCTTCTTTATTTGACATTATGCTGGTGCTGAGATTATTTTTTACATTAAGCAGTCAATTAACACATTGTGTGCCAAGTGAGGCACTTTGGATATCATGATCATAAAGAGGAAATTAAGATATATACTCTCTATAATATCTAACCATTATAATTAATGGGCAAAAAAAATCACAGTGCATTTGGGGGGAGGCCATAGTTCCCAAAGATTCCAACAAAACTGATCCCAGTCAAAATAATGGAAACAAAACTAATTTTCAAGAAGTTGGGACATGCTTTCGACATGTGATGAGAAGACACTGATGCATTCACAGATTAACCACATTCTATGTAGTTTTGGCACAAAGCGCAGCTGAGAACTAAAAAGGTGCTAAAAACCTGATTATACTGAACACTCACTGAATTCATTATCACCCCGAGGTTCCATAATGAACAAAGACTGGGTGCTTTCAAACATGATGAAGCAAAACAAATGACATACAAATTAAAAGAGCATCTAACAGAATTTGAAATTACAATGATAGTGACGGGCACCATCTTTATGTAGAGATTTCAGATACACTTCCAAAATTGACACTTTGATTTTGTACAAAACTATGTGTATTGCAGTGCTGTGTCAGCCAATCAAAAGAGGGATATTGTTACAACATCAATCTCATGTTAATTAGTACGGAGTAGTTTGGGTAAGACACCAGTGAAACAGAGTGCTTGAAGTCACCATGAACTGCATCAACATATTATATGTGATCTTCAAAGTCTTTATTAGTGGATAGTGACTTGAATCATGAAATGCTTATATATACCAGCAATCAGACATAAAACGATACAGTACAGAACAGACCCTTTGCACCATCAAGTCTATACCACCAAAAATAGTTCAATGTGTACGCTGTCTATTTGATTATATAGTTCAGAGTATAACATGTAGCATCAGATATTCAGTAACACCAATTATTAAACTGACGTGGTGGGGAGGCAAGGAGTTTTAATATAGATTGTACAAGAGTAAGCCAATGCAAATGAAGTGCAATGTACCAGTTCTATGTTGGTTTTGATTTGAGAATATTAATGTAATGAGATAGTATTGATGTGTGAAAGTGCAGTATAGTTTTAATATACTGGCTTTGTTTTATCCATTTATTATTAACTATTTTTACTTTGTATAAATATTAAATTTCCAGTCAGATCAGGACCACATACAAACCATGTTAATTCTCCATGTCTAAGGTGGTGGTGGTCAATTTTGAGACAGTGCTTACAGCCATTTATAGCCACTTACAACCATCCAATGCTATGAGTATTCAGGTGCAATACAGAATCACAGAATCACAAAATTTTAACAGGTAGGAGGAGGTCATTCAGTCCACCGTCTCTGCACCAGTTCTATCAGCATTTTGACTTAGTGCCAATACACTACAGTTCTAATATAATTGTCAGTTTTTGAGAGTGTGGACATATATACTTAAATATATAATACTTAAGGGAATATTTACAAGTTATGTGGAAAGTTCAGAGGGGAAGGACAACTTATTTCTAACAGCCTCGCTCTGCTGCATGATTCTAGTTTTTAGCACTGATGAACTGAACAATGCAATTGGGAGGTTGATATAATGAGCTTCAGGCATTAAGTAAATACAGTAAAGCAACAAATCTCATTAATACCTATAAATGACATGTGAACCTGGCCTTGACAATGCTACTTTTCATGATGCATAGTATCTAGAGCAACTTAATTTCCCAAATTTGAAAGCTGTATGAAAGTGCTAAGTCTGTTAACAATCTGAGTTTCACTTTTCACTCTTGATTTACACACATCAAAAATGGTTCATAGATTTTCTGATGGTAGAAGCACTGAGTAACTCACCAGTTCCTTGATGTCTCCCAACAAGAACATCAGCCCCCACCATACATCCCATCCCCAGAAGACACACCCCGACTCCAATGAAGTGAAGAGCCTTGTATCTCACCAGCAGGAAGAACCAGGACAGCAACAATACCACTGGGATAACAAAACAATCTAGCAACTGTAAAACAAAAAGAAAGGGCAAGTTAAACCATTACTGACAAATCATATTTCAAGGGACAAAAAAAATCAACAAAACATTAAACATGTAATGCACAACCGTTTTGGACATATGTATTTTCCAAAACCAATTTCACTTACCTGTAGACACCATGGCATCATCTTCCTTGTCCTGGGTTAGGGTAATTATAATCTCTTCAATTCCATTTATTTTATTATCTACTTCTGTCAGTCTTAAGACTTATTAGAAGTTAGCTCATCAGAGGTTCAGACTGTGCCTGACAATCAATATATCAATACTCAATAATATCAGTTATGTTTTCTACATCAATGTGCCTGCATCATGATGTGAAATCACATTGCAAAATGAATAGCTCAATATACAGAACGGGTTCTGTATTAAATTCAAGATCCACTCTCTATGTTCATGGCAGGAGAGTCCCGAACCAAAATGTCAAATTTCCTGCTCCTCTGATGCTGCCAAGCCTGCTGTGTTCCTCCAGCTCCACACTGTGTCATCTCTGGCTTCAGCATCAGTAGTTTTTGCTATCTCTGAGCATCCAACGTTAGTTATGATTCCGTGATTGGACAACTTCTGTTAAGTAACCCCGAGTATTCACACATTTACACTCACAACTAATTTTGGATTGTTACTCAGGCTCACACTGTGGTGCAATTAGTTGCATGTGCTCAAATTAACATTCAGTAATATATAGGTTCCATTCTTTTGCCGAACTTGTACACACACATTTTGCTGTTTCAATGGAGACAACCATTCTTTGGTTTGTTTTTTCGGGCAATGCTTTGATCAATCGGAGTCAACCTACCTGGTTAAAATTTAAACAAAACTTGGCCAACAATGTGAGCTGCCTCATTCCTCATGACAGCACTTTGACCAATCAGTGACCGTTTGCCAACGAAACAGCACTCATAAGACAAATGCTGTTTTCACATTACATTGTTATTTCCTACAATTGTCCTGATGAGTGCAGAAGCTTTGTTAAAATGTATATTTTTCAGCAATACACAAATATTTTCTTAATTTGGTGCAACCACAAAATTGTAATCAATGTTTGTTGTTATTGTCAAAATGTTACTTTTCTCTCTAAACATCATAGAATCATACAGAAGTACAGAAGAGGTGCTTCAGACCACGGAGTCAGCACCGACAGGAAAAACTACTCTAAATCTATGCTAGTCCCACTTTGCAGCACTTGGCCCATAGTCTTGAATATTATGACATTTCAAGTAAAAACCAAAAGAACTGCGGATGCTGTAAATCAGGAACAAAAACAAAGTTGCTGGAAAAGTTCAGCAGGTCTGGCAGCATCCGTGGAGGAGAAAACAGAGTTAATGTTTCGGGTCTGGTGATCCTTCCTCAGAACTGATGGTGGCTGGGAAAACATCAGTTTATATGCAGAAAATAGGGAGGTGGGTGGGATAGGGAGTAAACGATAGGATAGAGCCCGAAGAGAGAGAAAGACAGTTGGACAGACAGAGGAGTTGCTAACGATCAGGCTGGGAGGGTGAATAGTTGTTAGTAGGGACTGTTAGTGACTAACAACAGGGGGTGTGTAGTGGCAGGTTATGTGGTAACAAGGCCTGGTGTGTGGGGTGGGGGGCTGGGACATGGGAGAGTTTAGGCCCTAAAATTATTGAACTCAATACTGAGGCCGGAGGGCTGTAGGGTCTCCAAGCAGAAAATGAGGTGTTGTTCCTCCAGCTTGCGTTGGGCTTCACTGGAACACCGTAGCAAGCCGGAGACACAGATGTTGGCCAGGGAGCAAGGTGGTGCATTGAAGTGGCAGGCAACAGGTAGTTCAGGGTCTTTTTTGCGAGTAGAACGTAGCTGTTCTGCGAAGCAGTCGCCAAGTCTATGCTTCGTTTCCCCAGTGTAGAGGAGACCACATTGTGAGCAGCGAATGCAGTAGACTAGATTCTTGGAAGTGCAGGTGAAGTGTTGCTTCACCTGGAAGGTATGTTTGGGCCCTTGGATAGTGGGGAGGGAGGAGGTAAATGCGCAGGTGTTGCACCTTCGCCGGTTACAGGGGAAGGTGCCAGAGGGCTGTGGGGAGGTGTTGGGGTTGAAGGAAGCATGGACCAGGGTGTCCCGGAGGGAACGGTCCCTGTGGAAGGCGGACAAGGGAGGGGAGGGGAATATGTGTCTGGTGGTGGCATCTTGCTGGAGGTGGCGGAAATGGCGTCTGATGATCTTCTGGATGTGGATGCTGGTGGGATCTTAGGTGAGGATAAGGGGAACCCTATCGCTGTTGTGGGAGGGAAGAGAAGGGGTGAGGGCAGAAGTGTGGGAGATGGGTCGGACCCAATTGAGGGCCCTGTCGACAACGGAGCTGGGGAATCCTCGGTTGAGGAAGAATGTGGACATTTCGGAGGCTCCCTTGTCGAAGTTGGCCTCATCTGAACATATGCGACGGAGAAGGAGGAACTGAGAGAATGGGATGGAGTCTTTACAGGAAGTGGGGTGTGAGGATGTATAGTCCAGGTAACTGTGGGAGTCGATGGGTTCGTAATGGATATTAGTGGCCAGTCTATCCCTAGAAATGGAAACAGAAAAGTCGAGGAAGGGAAGGGAGAAGTCAGAGATAGACCAGGTGAAAGTGAGGGCAGGGTGGAAATTGGAGGCGAAATTGAAGAAGTTTTCCAATTCTCGACGAGACAGGGAAGCAGCGCCGATGATATCGATGTATCGGAGAAAGAGTTGTGGGTGGGGGCCGGAATAGGACTGGAACAAGGAATGTTCCACGTACCCCACGAAGAGACAGGCATAACTAGGGCCCATCCAGGTACCCATGGCAACCCCTCTTACCTGAAGAAAATGAGAGGAGTTGAAAGAGAAGTTGTTGAGGGTGAGGACAAGCTCGGCCAAGCGGAGGAGGGTGGTGGTGGTGGGGACAGTTCAGGTCTTTGCTCCAGGAAGAAGCGGAGAGCCCTAAGGCCCTCCTGATGGGGAATGGATGTGTAAAGAGATTGCACATCCATGGTAAAGAGGAGGTGGCTGGAGCCAGTAAACTGGAAGCTTTGAAACTGGCGTAAGGCGTCAGGTGAATCATGGATGTATGTGGGTAGGGATTGGACCGGGGGGAGAAGACTGAGTCAAGGTAGGAAGACATTTCAAGTGTTTAGCCAGGTACTTCTTAAAGGTGGTGAGGTTTCTTACCTCAACTACCCTCCCAGGCAAAGCATTCCAGATTTACAAAACCGTCTGAGTTTTTTGAAGAAGTTTGATGAAGGCTGAGCAGTAGACAAGGTTCCACATGCTTGACAGATTAATAAGGTTAGATCACGTGGAATCCAGGGGGAGCTAGACAACTAGATACAAAATTAGGTAGGAGACAGAGGGTGATGATGGAGGATTGTTTTTCAGACTGCAGGGTTGTGACCAGTGGTATGCAGCAAGAATCGGTGCTGGGTCCACTGCTTTTTGTCATTTATATAAACAACTTGGATGTGAATATAGGAGGTATAGTTAGTAAGTTTGCAGATGACACCAGAATTGGTGGCACAGCGGACAATGAAGAAGGTTACCTCAAAGTACAATGGGGCCTTGATCAGATTGGACAATGAGCCAAGGAGTGGCAGATGGAATTTAACTTAGATAAATATGAGATGTTGCATTTTAGTGGGACAAATTAACATATACAGTTAATGGTAGGGCCCTAAGTAGTGTTGCCGAACAAAGAGGTGCAGGTGCATAGTTCCTTGAAAGTGGAATCGCAGGTAGACAGGATGCTGAAGAAGATATTTGGCATGCTGCCTTAATTGGTCAGAACGTCGAGTATAGGAGTTGGGATGTCATGTTGCAGTTGTACAGGACATTGGTGAGGCCACTTTTACTATCTGGTTGCCCTTCTGTAAGAAGAATATTGTTAAACTTGAGATGGAGCAGAAAAGATATACAAGGATATTGCTGGACTGGAGGGTTTGTGTTATATGGAGAGGCTGAAAAGGCCGGGGTTTTCTCTCCTAGAGCATCAGAGACTGAGGGGTGACCGAATAGAGGTTTATCAAATCATGAGGGGCAATGGATTGGATGAATAGTCAAGGTTATTTTCCCAGGGTATGGTAGTCCAAAACTAGAGGGCATGGGTTTGAGGTGAGAGCGCAAAGATTTAAAGGGACCTGAGGGGTAACTTTTTCACGCAGAGGGTGATGTGTGTATAGAACGAGCTGCCAGAGGAAGTGGTAGAGGTGGGTGCAATTAGAACTTTTAAAAGGCATCTGGACAGGTACATGAAAATGAAGGGCTTAGAGGGATATGGGCCACATGCTTGCAAATGGGACTAAATCCGTTCAGGATATCTGGTTGGTATGGACAAGTTAGAACAAAGGGTCTGTTTTCATGCTGTATTACTCGACGATTCTGGGTGAAAAATCTTCTCTCAAATCTCCTCTAATCCTCCTGCCTTTGACCTTAAAATTATGCCCCTTCATTACTGACCCTTCAACCAATGGGAACAACTGTTTTCTATCCACCTGTCCATGGCCCTCAAAGTCTTATAAACCTCAATCAGCACACCCTCAGGCTACAATTCTGTGGAAGGGTCACTTGACCTGAAACGTTAACTCTGATTTCTCTTCACAGAGGCTGCCAATCCCCACCTCGCTCTCATCTTCACCTGGTCCATCTTTGACTCCTTCCAGTCCTTCCTTGACATCTCTGTTTTCATTCCTGGGGATAGGCTAGTCACCAATATCAAATAGAAACCAACTGACTCTCGAAGTTACACCCTAGTTCCTGTAAAGATTCTATTCCATTCTCCCAGTTCCTCTGTCCCCCATTGCATCTATTCTGATGATGCCAACTTCAACAAGGGGGCCTCTGACATGTCTTCAACAGAGGATTCCCCAGCACCGTAGTTGATAGGGTCCTCAACCAAGTCCGACAGATCTCCCGCCCTTCGGCCCTCTCACCCTCTCTTCCTTTCTACAACCGCAAAAGTGTTCCCCTTATCCTTACCTACCATCCTACCTGCTTCCACA